TTTAAATTTGTGTTCTTTGAGAAAGAGTCATCAAAATTTGAATTATATTAATTGTTATATAATTCGGCCATTAAGAAAATTTGAATCATGATTCTTGCAATGATATTTTAATTGTTAAAATGATAAGACGTATGGATGAACATGTTATATAATATTTGATATTATGTGCTTGCAAGTTATTTGAATTTTCAGGTGCAAATTGGAAGGGGATGGTCATGGTGCCCGAGTTTGAATTTCGAATTTTTATATTTTAAATTAAAGGTGTAATTTTGCTCGATTTAAATTAAAATGTAAATTTGAATTTTAAATTTTGAATATTCATTTGTCCCTCCAAAGATGTTTTGGAGTTTCTTTAATTATTTTGTAATTAGATAATTAGGCTAGTGGCGTTTAGACGACAAGGAGTCGTGGCTTGAGAAGCAAGAAGGACGAATGCACGAGTACCATGACCGTCTCAAATAAAATTGTTTTATATGCATGTATGCTTTTATGCTTAAAAAACGACTAGTATGCATGAAATTGGACAAATCGCGTTTGTATGTATTATTATGCACGTCTAATTATAACTAGTGTAATCCGATAGATGTTTGACATATGATACGACTAGCATGATAATTATACCTATGCGTTTGATGAGACTTAATAAACCCTAAATAAAAGGAACCCTTAAAAGGAATAAATTATTAAGCATGATTACTTCCCACCACCAATATTACTCAAACCTCCTCTAAATAGTGGTGCTCTACAACTCAGTTGGGACCCATTGTTTCGTTGAGTAAGAGTAGTATTAGAAGTGTTAGACACTTAGGGTGCTGGTTAATGCTTAAATGAGGCATAAGTTGCAGGCTCAACCGGGCTTATGTGCTTAGGGTAATAATGCTAGGTTGGTTGCATGAGATGCACCACTAAGTGACAAAGAGTTGTCAACCTAAAGTTAAGAGAGGGTATGAGATACTGTTGATAAGGATCAACCCATTATTTAAATTAATCTTGCGGTCACAGACGGGGGTTAAAATAGATAATCGCACTCTTAATCTCACTAAGGTAAAATCTAAAAGTAGATTAACCCTAAGTCAAAAGGTAAGAGTCATTGACTTAGATAAAATAGTGGGAGCGGCAAATTATTTAAAGTCTTTAATAATTTATTTTTACTACATGTCGAAATATATTAATTAAAATTATCTTTACATCTTTTCAGTTTTTAGTATGACTAATCCACTGTCACTGCGCTCAATACTCGATACGAACAAACTGACCGGTTCAAACTTTATGGACTGGTATCGGAACTTAAGAATTGTTCTTAGGGCCGAAAAAATAGCTTATGTCCTGGATGTTGCATTACCCGTAGCTCCTAGGGAAGGGGAAGATGGGTTCACAGAATTTGATTTCGAGGCCCACAAACAGCACATGGATGACAATGTGTTGGCTGTCTGCATCATGTTGGCATCCATGTCGCCTGAACTGCAAAAGCAACATGAGCATATGGATGCTCCCTCTATTGTCTTACATCTCAAGGAGTTGTATGACATTAAAGGCAGGCATGAGAGGTATGAGGCCTCTAGAGAATTGTTCTCATGCAGGATGTCTGAGAACATGTCTGTGAGCAGTCATGTTCTTAAGATGATCGGGCTCATTGAGAAGCTAGGAAATCTAGGCTTCGTGATGGATGCCGAGCTAAGTAATGACTTAGTCCTGACCTCGCTTCCACCTTCCTTCAGTCAATTCATTATGAATTACAACATGCATGGGATGCTAGTGAACTTGCCTGAATTGTTAAGCATGTTAACAACTGCTGAAGTGTTCTGATACCATGTAAAGAATCAATTCAACCCAAAAGCTTAAGCTCTTGGATGAGACTATATTAATGATTTTTTTATATATCAAGTATCTTTTGTTATCTTTTGTAAAAGCTAGGCCATGGCACCATGCCGATTTCCGAGCATGGCTGAAATATTTGACAATCACAGTTATTAGAGTACAAATGATTGAATTATATATATTAATCTATCAATTATTTTAGAAAATTCCATTGCGATATAATTTTTGGAGGTTGACTTGAGTCACATGGTCTCAGCTGTCATTATATTAATGCTGAAAAGTTTATTGTGATATAACTTATACTATTTTATCAATTCGACAATTAAAATATATCTTAACAAATTCAAGAAAAATAAATTCTAACGAAGTTATTTTAAAATAAATTTTTTAAAATGTGTTTTTTTATCATATATTTGATTAATTTGTTTTAAAATATTCATTTATTTTAATCTAAAATCATATGAATTAGATAAAAATATTATTAAAAATTATACGTAGATTGATTAAAATATATAAATTTAATTTTAACAAAATATTTAAATATAATTTCAAATTAATAAAAATATATTAAATGCAAGATTAAATATGTTCAGGAGAAAAATATAGTTTAATTTTATAGCCATATGTTAACTTATCAATTAAAGTTAACAAAATTTATTCTATAGGGTATTTTTGGGGGCGAGTTTCTCGATTTCTGGTGCCTGAAATGCTTCATGAATAGGAAAAAATATCTCCTTCTTCATTTGGAGTGGGATTAGGATGAAGGTGTAGAGGTGTAGAGGTGTGAAGTGTGGCAAAGCCGCAAAGATTAGTGGTTTGATGAGGTGAAAATCATGTTGTGTCCAGCTAACATTCTATCATACTATTGGCCAATTTGCCTACTCAAAATATAGCTATGAATATAACTTAAAATGGAGTCAATGGTGGGGTCTCTGCTGTCTGTATAAATTAAGAATAATTGCTTTAACTCTGGTTTATTATTAATCATGGTTTATTTTATGCGAGAACATGCCACTTAGTCACTTACTCCTCTCTTTGTTTTTATTAAATTTTGTTGGAATACATGATGGCATTAATTTCATATGTTGGAAAAGTGTGTATAATTTTGAAGGATGTAAAGTTGTGTCATTTTAAGAGAGAGAAAGAGATAGATAAAGGAGGAGAGAGAGTTGACAAAATAAAATAAAATTGTGGATCTCACCTCTTTGTAAGAGTGAAAGGATATAAGACACTTTTCCCATACTTAAATTTATATGATGAAAGTGGCCACTGAAGTATTCTCATGCGCGAGAAACTATCAAAATTGCTGCTTTGTCACTTTGTGCGTGTCTGATCTCTGCTAATCATAATCAAGAAATAATTTTATAATAAACAATGTAACCTCTTTAATAATCATTTGAATAAGGCAACGACTTGCATGCTGGACTACAAAGCCCAAATCATTGTATTTCACATTAAAATGCAGAAAATGTATCTTATTTAACTTGTACACATTCTTAATTCTTAGACGAAAACAAGATGCTGTACTAAACATTCTCATTCGATGATACTGTTGAGATATATAGTCTCACATTGGTTAGATGTGCAATTAATGTGGAGTTTATAAGGTCTTGGGCACTCCTACCCTTTGAGCTAGCTTTTGGGGTGGTGTATCCCAAGGTTCTTTACATGGTATCAGAGTTTGAGCCCTCACTGCCTCCCACTTTAAAGTGGAATTAAAATAAATAAAAAAAGCACAAAAGGTAAATCAAAAATTGGGCCTGTGCAATTCCACGTTTCTAGTCCGAAGGGCTCTTACGTGAGGGGGCGTGTTGAAATATATAGTCTCCCATTGGTTAGATGTGCAACTAATGTGGAGTTTCCCACCCTTTGAGGTAGTTTTTGGGGTGGTGTATCCCAAAATTCTTTACGGAAGTCTTTTAATCTACCAATATACCCACTGCATCAACAAAATGCCATATCATGTCAGATTATAATTACAAATTATATACTTAAAATATCCAAGACGGCATCTATTGACATAAATGACAAAAAAAGAATTATTTCTATTACAGTACGGTGTCCTTAGCAGGGACCAAAGGTCCATTCCAAGTATTTAAGACCATATACCATAATGAAATTAATTAACTAGTCATCTGTACAACATGGACGTTGACACACCACAGTTAATTATATAACAATATTTTTTTTTATTTTTTTGGCAATAATTAATATAGCATTTAATTTACTCTACATACTGTTGGGAAGCATGTACATGTACAAGGGTTAGGTGTAGGGTCCCGTACTCAGGAGAATAGAACTTGCATTGGACCACCAAGAAGATTCTTTTAGACCAATTGCATTTTCTGAAACTTCGTTCAACCTTCAGTTCTGAAATTAGACTGAGACATAATGCATCTTCCATTGTCACTTGTCTTAACTCTTAATGCAAGGACGATCCACCACTTTTGACTGCAGAATTCTCCCTTTAACATAAATTGCCTAACATTACATTTTCGGAGACTTTGGTTGAGGAGAAATTTTATGAATAATAAGAAAATGTGATACAGAGGAAAATGGGTGAGAAGTGAGATTGATAGAAAAATGTAAGAAAAAGTTGTTTGGTTGGAAAAAAATTTACAGGAAAAATTAGGTAACTTTTATAAAGTCTATGTTTGACTGTAAGTAACATATAGATATAGATGGGAAAATGCAGTAGATATTACAAAATTAAGCCTGACTTTATAAATTTTTTAAGAATAAACATCCTTTTTGTCTCTGGTAATATTTACGAAATCCTTTTTAGTCTCTGACAATAAAAAAGGACCAAATCGGTTCCTAAAATTATGAAAAAAGGGCTACGTTAGTCCTTATGTCAACTCCTCCGTCACTAACGTGGCCCTTTTTTCATAATTTTAGGACCAATTTGGTTCTTTTTTTATTGTCGGGGACTAAAAAGGATTTCGTAGATATTACCAGAGACCAAAAAAGGTGTTTACTCTTTTCTTAATGAACAACACCCGTTACGTTATCCATAACGGCCATATAACTTTGGGTTTTATTAATCTCCTTTTACATAAGATAATTATCTTATGTTGTAGAGAGAAAATAAGTGGGTCCCACCATTATAAGAAGAAAGAAAAAGAAGAGGTGAGCTGCAGAAATCGAAATGAGAGAAAATGAGATAAGATGCCTCCTATGAAATGAGAGTAATTTTGTGTTGTGAACGACCATTTCAGAGTTGTGTTTGGAATAAATTTAATTTTGTCTGTGTTTCCGCTTCTCAAGCATGACAAGATTTTCGTCGACATAGCACTCCAGACAGTCAGTGAACGCATACATCCAAGGCATAGGATTTTTTGCTGCATTGCACCGTTGTTACCAAGTTAGGGTTCGACTTCCATTGACGCACCGGAAGGAAAGAAAGGGCATGTTATATGCTTGCAATTGTTTTATAAAAGTTGGTCCACCATCACAAGAGGTATGCTCATCTTTTTTTTCCCCCTATTTGGTCATGGGTGTCATCGTTGTTGTGTTCCAAAAGGGTGTTGAATTAATGTATAGATTACATTTTGGCGCAGCTAAGGTGTCCATTTATATATAGTTTGATGAATAGTTCTCCATCTCCCCCCACCCTTGTTTCCATCTTTCGATTCTCACTATTTTCTCTCTTATTTTTTGAATTTTCACCTTATTCACCCGAGTATAATAATATGGAATGATTGTTCAGGAGTCAAGTGGGAATAGGGGGATGAAATGATAAGTTCATTACATTGTTTGGTTATTTTAGGAATGGAGTGATTATTCATTTTAATATGTTAGTGCGTAGAATCATCATGAAATATTTCAATAAAAAAAAAAAAAAAAAAATTAACTAACATCAGTTCTCCACAAATCTGCATTTTTCTTGAGATTTCATACTAAATCAAAAGCCAAGTCAGAGATAGACCCATGCAATTGCAGTTACAGCACGTGGCAACAGGAAATGGAAATGGAAATCCTCTTCCTATGGCAAACTTCAAGCATACCCTCTAACCTACATACACATAACTCTCTTTCCCTTATAAGTAAATGCTTAACCAAAAGTGATCCTTGTCTCATAAACCTTTGTCAGACACATTTTAGCTTTGCTTTCAACTCTTCTCAGGTCTAAGTGTGGCTTCCTATTCCTCCCTTCTGATTAATGTTGACAATATACCCAATCTCATAATTCTCAATCTTGTTGAAACTGATCAGAAGTTGTATGTTGTTCAAAATTTTGAACATAGGAGAAAAAAAAATAGCCTTGGGCTGTAAGTCTATACAACCTATGGGAAAACCCTTCACTCATTCATGAAGGTTCTTTTGGCCTCTTAAGGAGTATAATGTATAATACATCTAATCTGCTTTTATCCCTCTGGTTCTAGCTGGACTATTTTTATCGTGGTTATGGATAAAGGATCTTAGGCTCGAGCTATTTGTGGTATCAGAGAACAATAGGGGTGTAATAATTATATGCCACTCAGATATCGGTTGGGGAAGGCAAAATTGACATGAGGCAAAGTTAGTCAGAGTTAGGCAGAGAGTAATACAAAAAACAAATATTTACTGTGGGGTTGGTATTACTTAACTCCATCCTAAAAGACAATCATTCTTTTGGGGTCCTATAAAATTTTATTGTCATAAAGCAACTACTTAAGCTTGAATGTAGCAGAAGACTGCAAGTATTATTATGTTGTTATTGTTATTAGTATTAACTTTGTTTCTGATTCTAGTAATAATTTGATCTTGTTTTCAGTGTTTAATGTGACTGATGATAATGGAAACAAGATCAGAGATAAGGAAGTCATTGATTATATTCAGATGGTAAGTCGTATACTTGTATTTTTTATAATGCTTTGATTGAAGCTTATTTTTTGTCGCTCCACATATGTGGAAGGGTCTTCTTTTTTTGTTCTTTTGTAGAAATTTTCAAGCTAAGTAAGCGGGACACGTGTATTAGAATATGTCAATTTGAATTTGGTTCTTTTGATAGCACAATGATGTGATTTTGCCCTCATTTTCTGCATTGCTGATTGCATGAGCTAGCTATGAACTGGTTTACCAAAGTGGAATGGAGCAAGAACGTGCTCATCCTTAATTGATGTTCTTTTTTAATTTCAATTATATAATTTCCTTTTTTGTATTAAAATTCTGCTGGTTCCTGTATTCTTCCAGCAAAGGTTATATGAACCTGCTTGATCTAGCCGGTGGACACACTGTTTGAAGTGCATGTGTTGGAAGATGATTAACTTGTGTTATCAGTGTCATTCCAATTTATTTTATAGTATAGTTGACATAGAATGATAGAAAATAACTTAAAATCCTTGAAGATATTTGAAGTTCTGGATATTGTTAACATTTGAACTTATAAATACCATACTGCACATGTAAATTATCAGATCTGGTGTTCACCCTGATGGTCAGTCTTCCAGAAATATGAGACTCCTAAATCTCTGCCCATTTTCACGTTGCATAGTGATGCCTAATTTCAGTCCATTAAGATATAAATGTCTCCTTTGTTTGAGTTATTTGTGAATCATGTCATACTAAACCTTAATGAATAATAGTGGTACTCTGTCGAAAAAGGTTGTAGTTTCTGAATTTTTTTCTTTCTATGTGATTTTGTAGAGACTTGAAAACAATCCCAGCTTTGCACCCTCATTGAGATAGTCTGTTGGGGTCGTACCTACTGAAGAGCAAACTGTAATTGAACTTAATGTCCTCAATGTAGCAGAAGATAGTGATTTGCTCTTTCTTACTGCATATTTGAACATTAGCAATATCCCTAACTACCTTATGTTTGGTGAAATGGATCAAAAGCAAGAGCAAGGAGTGGGGAACACCAAAATGTCTGCCTTTGATGTTACTCTAGTATCTCCCAAAGTTCCAGAAGCAGTTTGACCAGTATCTTCTGCAGCAGATGGTGAAACCTTAAGGCGACCTCGTGGCAGGCCAGCTGGCTCTAAGAACAAACCTAAGCCACCAATAATTGTGACAAGGGATAGTGCTAATGCACTCAAGGCTCATGCCATGGAAGTTAGCTCTGGCTGTGATGTGAATGAAAGTTTGTTGAACTTTGCAAGGAGAAAGCAACTGCTGATTGGTGGGTTCTTGATAACAACACCACCCCTGCAAATCTACCCAAAGGAATAAGAATTGGTGGCACAAGTAGAATGACTTTTAGTAGCATTGTATGATGTTTGTAATTATTGTTACTGTAATTTCCTTTATTGGCACTGTAATTTCTTTTTTTTGTCTTCGACAGATCAAAAGTTGTAATTGTTGTTATTTCAATATATGAAATTATACGATTAAGTTCCAAATTGCTGTATTACTTTATATAAATTCTGTATCACAATAGCTCATGTGATAAGCATTACTGTGTTTAATTTTTTGAGCATGACAATCACCATTTGGCACACTTGTCTTCAACATGTTATGGAGGCACAAAGCAGCATATACCCTTTCATGTTATTAACAATTTATAATAACCTGTGTCATTAATAACTGGTTCAAAGAACTGTATTGTGCAGAGACCAATGAAGACAATTAAAAAAGTTTATAATCTTTGTTGAATACATCCCTGTTAACATTTGCAATGAATAACTTTGTGATGCACCCAAGTACATTTTGAGAATATCCAAACATATAAAAAAGTCATTGTACACTAATACAAACACAGTAGCCAACACACTATATTATGATTGTCCTTTGCTATATACTTCTTGCAGACATGAATCAGCATCATTTGCAGGCAACGGTGTCCTCGGTTCCAACCTGATGCAGAGACAGAAAATTAGTGCTATTGACAAATCAAAGAATACCAAGAAGAAAGAATTACAAGGGACAGGGCAAATAAGAAACTGTAGCTGTCTAAAAATCAGTATGCACAGACCAGCATAATTTAGAGGATTAATATTTTCATGCATACAGCTACAGTAGTGGTAAAAATTTGCTGAAAACAAATACCAGTACAAAGTTTGGAGATTAATATTTGTATGCAAATCAACAATGCAAACCACTGTTTGCACCAACTTACTTAATCATAAAGGGTTGCTTACCATGTTTCAAATACCTTCACTGGAAGCATAATATACCAATATTCAACTTACTTTACCGACTACACCAAACTCCATAGTTATATATCACTCTCATTCTTAATGAATCTAATTAACTCTTCTATATTAACACTTTACCAAACCCCATCACCATTAACCGTATTAACAGTAAGATCGAAATATATAACACTGTTCTTGGAAATCGGCCAGAACAGGTTAATGCTTGTAATCAGAAATTGGAATTTCGAAATAAACATCGTTTAGGATCGAAATTGATTCATAATATAACAGTGTTCTTTTTTTGGACAAAAATGGTTTAAGGATCGAAATCTGCCCTCTGACAAAAATGGTTTTTGGACCCTCAAGTCATGCTCGCATTTTTTATTTTTATTTTCCCCACCGTAGTGATCACCAGCTCAACTAGGACAAATGCTTTTCTTATCTAAATTCATAAAAAACCCAAACACGTTATATTTCCTGGAGAAAAAAAAAGAAGAGACTAACCGGAGAGGCTGTTGTCCACAGTTGATGACAAACAACAAAAGCGAAGTTTATTTAAATACTGACGAAGATTGTTACCTCAGTGATGAAGGAGAAATCTGGAGTTGAAGACCGGACAAAGTTTTTTCACCTAAATGCAATTTCTGAAATTAAAAAATAAAACACCATGGACATGGATGAAGGGAAAAACGCTATCTTTGTAAGGAAAGCACCAAAAACAGAGACGAAATGCTTTTTTGTTCCACCGACTTACCTCCCACACCAACCAAACTTCGGCCTCACTGATGATGGTTTCCTTTCGGTTTCAGACCAGCTCCAAGACGAGGGTGAAGCCTATTTCGCACATCCATTCCCTTGCATGTTTCCCTGTGTCCGTGTGCAATTCTTGGTCTTTGGCAAGTACAGGTTCTAAACAAGTATGCAAAAAGTGAAGCTACAACATTGTCCTTTCGCGCGCAAACAAGGGGTACGCTAGTCTTTTTTTTAGTTTGCAAAGTGAACAAATATGGAGGTATTCGACAATACCACCTTGCAAAATGGCAACTTTGGCCGCCAAGTTCAGTACAAAAGCATAGGGAAATAGGAATGGCTGCAATCTGAATTAGCTACCTAAGTGAGGATCACCTTCAACCAAACGATGGTTTCTTCCTCTCCCACTTTTAGTTTATCTATCATTCTGTTGAGAATCCAGCAACCAAACGCCCCCTAAACGGTTTTGTAAGAGTTATGTTGTAGGAAAAGTGATTCTGTAATGTTATAGAGATTCGTTTTGCGTGTGCTAATTTTTTCTTTTTCTTTTTTCTTCAAAAAATGTGGGCCCCACAAAATATTGTGTGTGTAGAAAAATTTATTATATCATGTTAAATGAAAAATGCAAATCCGTTTCTTAAATCATGCTAGCTATCACCAAGTTGTTGTTTTCTAAAAAGTTTGCTGTTCACAAATTACAATTGATTAAAGTCGTCACCGAATTTGTAAAGGTTCACTTGACTTTGTAAGTTGTCTCCATCCTAAAATTGCACTACTTAATTCTCACAACTAGAATATTAAGCATCTATATACAAGTAACCTTATAAATAAAAATTACTACAATTTTTATTTAAATGATGACAAAAGTGAAGATCTTGTATATATCTCTTTCCATGTCCTTTTCGCACCATGATTAGAAGGGGTAAATTGACCTTTTTATTATTTTATTAAAAAAATATTCATGGTTTGAATAGTTTTTGAAATTTTGAGAGATAATTCAAAAATATATGTGATATATTTTAAAATATTGTTAACTGGTATAATTGTGAATAATTTTATAAATAATGAACAAACGATTAATAAAATAAATAATTAAGATGATAAAGGGTAATAGATTAAAGAAAAAGTTAGAGCTGAATCTCCTACGGATAATTTTAACTAATTTGCAATTAGACTCAATATATAGAATTTGTTCTTGCGGTTGTGAAATATTGTATTTTATTATCATCGCCGTCTAAATAGAAAATAAAAATTAAGAAAGAAAGGGAAAAACACTTGATGACGCCATTTTTATATTTTATTTTTATTTTTACAAAAATGTGGAAAGAGAATGATCAATAGCACATATAAACATGACAAGTGACAGTTGACGAACTTAAAAATCATTTGATGAAACTAAACTAATTAATAATATAGCTACGCACTTAGGCCACCAGTAGACAGAAAGCAACTTTAAAACCGCACTTTGACATGCTATGATTCTTTAAATTAATTGTCAATCTAACAAAATTGATCTAAACGATTGTAAGTTGGTGTATCCGTAAAGCTTCCTTAGGATATTTCAAGTGGTGTAGTTGCAAGTTAGATAATACTTTGGTTTGTTTCCAAAAAAGAAAGAAAAAAAGATACTACTTTGGTTTAAATGCAAGCTCCACCAATATATTATAAAGTTTATAACTACTGTTATAGAATGCGATTCTCAATCATATAGGCTCAGCTCAGGTGATTGATTGGTTTGGAGGAAAAATTGGATGCTGATGTTTTCCAATAAGGATGCATGATTGAGCAACAATTAATAGCTTTTTATTCCTGTGTAGAATTCAATTCTATAGGCTAGCGCCTAGCAGAGGCTTCAACATATATATAGATTTCTATTCAGAGATAGATAACAATGACATAAAATAATCAGTCTATTAGGCCCATCAAGGAGCCATAGCTAGGCCCAAAATGCATGACTTTTCAAAGTTCAAATAGTAGCAAAATTTCCCAGTTCCTCTATAGCTATGTGATGTAAATCGTAAAAGATGAGCACAAAAAAAGCACAATAGGAGTAGTTGAGTCAACCAAAGTTCACCCGGTCAAGACTGAATCGTCACTCTGATAATGTTGGGGCTGGGTTATGTGAAATCTGAACCCACAGTCAATCCAGTTTAGACCCTCAATTTTATAGCAGTAGTACTAGTACGTACAACCAAAGTTCACCCGAAAGAAATCACAACACTCTATTTGCAAAATCAGATTTAGCACATAAACGCTAGCACAGTAATATTTAATTCATGTTTAGTAAAGATTATTCTCTTGAAGAAAATTTTTTTAGTTCTCGCAGGAAGCTTCTGATTATTTCTTAAAAATACAAAATAAGTTAATTAAATCATATATTTACATATTATTACACCTAACACTAAATATTAAGGTGAGTTTGATTCTTGATTTCTTAAATAAATAAGAGAAAAGAACTAATAAGAATCGTTCACAACCCAATACCCCCATATATATATATATATATAATTGTTGATTTTCATTAATCAATATTTATTATATTTGCACAACAAATTAATCAATTAATTATTAATTCACACTAAATAATATTATTAATTGACAGAAATCAACAATTAAAATATAATTATAAAAAATTAAAAGTATAACCCTCCTCAAAATGAATAATACCATCTTACGACGAAATTGCGTTTAGTGATATTTTATTTTTGGTTATAAATCTTAGGCGAATTTAATGAAATTATTATTATTTTTAGACTGTCACATCAGCAATTTAAGTGGGTGGCATCCAGCAATAAAGGGAACCAACAATAATGCGTAATAGATAGATATATAAACAAATAATTTTACAAAAGGAAATAGGTGAAAATGGCAATCAAACACTTCGCTAGAAGATAAGCTCCAATGACTTAGCGCTGGTCCTTTGAACATATCACTCGGGAGAGCAATTTGAAGATTTAGCATCAATTAATCGTTTCAAAATTTGATACCGTACCTCCCTTCAATCACTGATTGGATAAACGTTTTGCAATTTGAAGGCAAGAAACACGAGTGTTTACAACTAAAATAGTAAGGCCCTTGTACCAAAAAAACAAAAACAAAAATAGTAAGGCCCTAAGCTTATGCATTTCTGACAATTGAAATCTTATAAGCAGACAACACACTAGAGATAATTCATTGTTGCTTTGCTTTCAATCCTACTAAAAAAAAACTGAGTGAAGAAAAATTTCCACTAATATAGAAAAGGCAAAATTTTCATTCAAAATGAAAATAACCGACGCAAAAGGGATATAATTATACTCCGTAGGCAAAAAAAATACTCGTGTACAACAGACACAACCTATTTGCTTTCCTATCTCCTTACGTTATATATATGTTTGAACATATATTTTGATATAAATAAGTCTATGATGCCAACCAAACTTTAATGCTTGTGATAGATGGCACGGATAAAACTATATTCTTTTCTAGTTCTTTATAACATACTCCATAACCATGTGGTCAATCACATGGGTTTTGTCACCCAAATCTCACCAGCTGCTCAACTGTTTCTGTATTTTAGAATTGTGAGATGACCTACCACCCTTGTCTTTGTAGGAATTCCTGGATGCAAAGGTCTTCCGTCCTCTATGAGAGGTTGCTATGGCACGTTGTCTCTGCTTATTCAAGCTCTTTGCGAGCTCAGCTTCATTTTCCATTGCATTTTGATTATGTTCTTCCTGTAAATCAAAATTACTACCATTATGGTTCTCTCTGATGCAAAGGCCAAATAACATGTATCATATAAACTATCTAATAAGATAAGATTCATTCAAAAAACAATAACAATTATCCTTTAGAACTACTACTCTTATGAACTGAATTAAGGAAGCATGCAAGGTACCCTGACATCACACTTTTACCACTTTTTTAATAAAAGAATGTCTTGTTAAATACTTTACTGAACGATTCAAGAGGAAATACTGGGAAATAATATTCTACTCCAAGCAAAGTTACGATAATAAAATGAGCCTAACATCAACATCAACATCAACATCAACAACACCTTTATCCCAAATTAATTGGGGTCGGTGGTAGATGAACCCACATGAAAGATACAAAACGGTTGAAAAAAAAGTAAAAAAAAATAAAAAATAAAAAATAAATAAATAAATAAATAAATAAATAAATAAAAATACACAAATAAAATAATAAAATAAAATAAAATGAAATAAAAATATATGTATATATAAATAAATAAAAGTAAAAAAGAAAGGGACAAGAAGAAGTGGGGGAAATGAAGGGGAAAAGGACTAAAAAAGGACCATCTAGAACATAGGAATAACAGCGGGTCTAACCCTCCACCATACTTATAGCTTTTCTCCATTCCTTTCTAAGACATACTGTCCGCCAATCTATATCCCACTCCATTAAATCTTGTTTTACTACTTTCCCCCAAGTAAGCTTCGGTCTACCTCTGCCTCTTTTTGTGTTTAGCTCTTGGTAACAAACTTCTGTTCTTACAGGAGTATCCATGGGTCTTCTCATCACGTGCCCAAACCACCTCAATCTATGTTCTCTCATCTTCTCTCATCTTCTGTTCTTAAAGGATGAGAAAATTCTACATTTGGAAATTCAATGTGCTCCCATTCATACCCTATCCTTTTTGGGTTAACTCCATGACCCATGCACTCGTTGATAACAAACTACGGTGTACTAAAAGAAATTAAAAAGAGATGCACTAGAGAAGCACAGGCACAATATTCATTGTTAATAAGCCATACACTGCTACCCAAAGAACTAATCATGAACCAACCTTAAAAGACTTAAAATTCTTTGAATCAAATATTAGGCAGAGGCCAAGGAAGCAGCATAAACATAACATTGAGATAACACACCTTGTCACTTCCATCCTCCTTGTCAGAGGTACTTCTTTCACCCGCTTCATAGCTCTCCTCTATTCCCAGACTTTCAAGTCCGTCAACCTGGTTAATTAAAATATGGTTTTCATTTTATATAAGTAAAACACCAATCCTTAAATCAAGATTGCAGAAAACAGAATTGCTCAACTAATGAAATAAGCTGAAAAAATCTAGGCACTCAGTCTATGCCAGTATGCCAACCAGTCAGTATGTACTATTAAACCAATTTCATGTCAAGTATTGGTATTTCAAATTTACATCTCACAGAAGCTCCCACATTTATTCTCATATTCTTAACAGAAAAGCTTCAAGCTTGACCTCCTCAAGCCCAAAAGGCAAGTTTGGTATTCTTCCAATTGTTAAACAGATCTTCCTAAGTTCTTCAGCACTGTTTTGCTTAACAAATATCCATAATCTTCATTTGAATCAATTATATGTTGTGTTTGCGTATATTACAGTCAAGGGCATCAACAGATTTTAAAAGGCCACTATCCTTTACTTAAAACTAGATATAATACCTAACTTATTTTAGTCCATCCTTCATAGAGGGGTCATTGTTGATTTGAAGTCACAGATCTGGCTGACTCAAGTTTACTCATGTTGCCTGTGAATCTGCTGATGTGTAATGTTTACTATGTCTATGAAACGGTTCATTTAATAGAAAATCTGAGCCCTTCCCTTCCATTTACAGATGTTGTTGGATAAAATGGAACTGATTTCCTGATTCATATCTACCATGGTTATCTTCATTGCCACATGATGTTAGCACAATCCACTTCCATCACTTTTGACAAGGCTTCCAGATTACTACTACAGCCTTTTTGTGGATACATAGCTAAGCATCAATAATGTACTTACAAAATTTTCCTCTATATTCTTATTACTGGTGAACTCTACCCAGTACAACCATTCAATCAGCCAAACAGAAAATCCATAAAAAATTACGAAAAAGGAATTCTTGGTGAAAATATTCAGTTTAAGAACAATTAATGAGTAGCCAGTAATTGATTAGCAGTTAATTGTTACTGAACAACAAATATCAGCACAAGAATTCTTCTGTAATTTTACCAAAATCCTTTTTTAGGAGAGGGATATGATAAACCACCTCTTATTAAAACCCAACTAGCGATAATAGGGTGAGGGCAATCCTTATATGAAGCATTACCCTTACATATTTGAAAGGAGAGTTATAATATTTATAAAAATTTCATTTGTACTTACAAAAATGCAAAAGTTGAAATTTCAAGAATATTCTGACCATGATCCCAGAGTGATGACACTAATCTCAAAAGTTAAAACTCGGGTACTTGCTTGAGTAAGATAACAAACTGCTTGATTTGATATCTTGTGTGTGTGTGTGTGTGTGTCATTTTAGCTGAATATTTTCATTTTATAATTTTCCTAAGGCTTTTGCAGAGCTAAGGAGAGAAAGGTTTTAATTGCAATGTGCTATCTAAGCTATATTATCATGTTTTGAACAAAATGCCCTTTTTCAAGAACACATCTAAGTCCTAAGATTTGTTATGTTTAATTGCAATGTGCTATCTAAGCTCTATTATCATGTTTTGAACAAAATGCCCTTTTTCAAGAACACATCTAAGTCCTAAGATTTGTTATGTTACAGTATTAATATTTTATGAACTCTAGAGGACAATCACTATAACAGATGAGCACGTTTCTATTTTCTTTGTTTTGTTCAGCTGTCATTGTTAAGGATATCATCCTTCTCTCTACACACACTTCTTAAACTCTAAGTGATCTTATCAAAACATAATAAATAGCAATTCCCTTTTCCATTTTCTACACCAAAAAACATAACATTCCAAAAGAAAACCACAGAAATTCTCAGAATATGAAATGCATAGCCTGTATCTCTTCAATGATCACAAAAGCTAATCGAAATATTACCGGCTCCAACAAATGTGAAAAATCACCATCTTTAATGTTTGCTTCGTTCACATCTTCCACTGAGTCAGCCCCTTCACTATCTGAATTTGTATCACTATCTGCCCTGCCTTCAATGAACTGCACATCAAAATTTGAAGAGCTTTGAGGCAGAATCAAATGCAAGATGAACACTTGACAATCCCATGCATTATAACTAAAAAGAGACAAGTCCAATCCCTAAGTACAATGATCATATTATGCTTTGCAATATAGAAATTCCATGTTGGGTGTTGGCAGCTAAGCAAAAAGCGGTGGAGAATGAAAAAGCAAAATTAACTTGCATTTTGGTACAAAATGGTCTCTATAGTTTCCTCTCCTTCCCACATAAAACAAGAAAATCATTTTACCCTCTGAATATCCTTTTCATTCTTTCTAGTAAAGCCACTGGCAGCAAGTTCCCTATCTAGAAAACCATCGCTTCTATCTATTGCAGACAAACAGGGTCTTCCATCTTCTTCTCTCCCTTTGTAAGAACCATCAACATCATCTATGTTTTCTTGAAAAGTAAGATTGAACCTGAAACAGAGAAGTGGGACTAAATATGAATATAACTGATGAGCAGCCACAGACTAGATTCAAAATCTTACAACAAGCTGAGTGACCAAAGATACATCTGCCATGCAATCAAAATTGGAGATGCAACAAGGTTAAAGTACTATGTACCAAAAATGAACAAAATAAATAAATAATAAACTCTGTAGGTAAATTAAAGGCACTAGACATAAAAGAATTTAAGGCACATAATAAGTAAAATTTCATTCAAAAATACTAAACATGCCAAGAAAAAAATTTATGACAAAAATGCTGTTATGAAGAAACTTCTTTTTATCAAGATAAACATGTGCTTAAAATATTTCACCAATGTGTATGAGATTCAACGTGTTTCCTATTCCTTTTTCTTTCTTATTTTTTTGTTAGGGCTAACAGAGACCCATTTGAAAGCTGTGATTCCAGAGAGTGACAAGCTATAAGAAATTACAGGGCAAGTGGTGGAGATATAAAGGCTTTGAAGCATATATGTGTGTGTGTGAGTGTATATATATATAAAATATTCAAAAAAAAAAAAAAATTGTCGTATCCATATTCATGCAAAAGGACTAATATACAATCCCTTGATCTTTTTTCCATTATTTACTTCAATTTCTTCTACCCTCCCCTGCCCTTTTCTAGTAATATATTATCTCCATAACTTGATGCCTTTCCGAAAAGGATTTTCAAATCCTGGGAAGTTATTAATTTCTAGGGTGATTCTTAAGATAGGATCAGCCTACCTGATTGATAACTTTTAAGCAAAATGCCCAAAACTAATAATCAGATAAACAAATTACTATTCACCCATCATAGCACAAGATTTCAAACTGTATAGTTTAATTTTCGAGTAACTTTGATGTGAGCTACAATCAATGTAATTTTACTAAGGGATTAACATTTCTCATGTTGTAGGACATGATTTTGTCTCCTATACACACATAAAAGTGTGTGGGCCCCATGTGGGGCCATGTGAAGAAGAAAGAGAGAAAAGAAAATACAAGCCCCACACACTTTTATGTCTGTGTAGGAGTTAAAATTATTTCTTACAACATTGAGAAACACTAATCTCTTTTACAAAACATTCAAGAAAGAAGAATTACTATGTTACATAAATACATCTCTATCAATATTGGGATAATTTAGAGTAATAACAACCAACCCAAGAGCACTTGTACACAAATGCAGCTTAGAAGGAAAAGAATCCATAACTTAATTACAAAAAGGTTACCAAAATGAAGGACAATAACCTTAGAGTAAGCACTGAATATGAACAAAAAATAAGAGAATGAAGGGACTTAAAAAAGAAAATACACATGAAGAAACGTGAGTCCAAGTCCTCCAATCATGCCCTTCATATCTTGCACTAACTGCAATTTCTAACAAATTATTTCAACTAGCAATACCAGACATACTTAGTTACTAATTTATAAAAATTAAGCCAACAGTTTGAGTGAGTGATAAGAGAAAATCATTTTAATTTTTTACTATCAACATTTGACTACCAAGACATCTACAAACTATATGCAAAAGCAACTTTAAAGGTCATAGATATGTGATCTCAAAATAATAACAAACCTCTTTCTGAAAAACTTAAAGACACATTCAACATCACGGTCAAAGTACCTGAAACAAGGATAAATAATGAGCAATTAAGCCACAAACATACTACATTTGTTAAACATGTGAAACTGAAAATGAAAAAAGAATTGTTGGATTTTCCCTTAATTTACGACCTGGAACTACAGTAAAATCCAATAATGATTAAAAAAAAAAAAACTACAATCGAACCACACGTAATGCAATATATATCACATAAAGGATTGTAAGTTCCAATCACTTCTTTTTAAGTTGGAATATGTTAGCAACCTCCACCTTTTGCTTTAGAACAAAGACGATTTTTTCTGTGTGAAACAACTTTAATTTAAGGGCATATCTGTAAAACTCTTAAGCTCGTCTCTAACCCTTGATTTGTTCGAATCTAATGGTTCAAAATTAACTTATTTAATGAAGTGAATATTGAACTCTAATTTTTTAAAAAAAAGGAGAGATTCTGCCTTCAATGAAGCCAGAAAATATAAACATAATGATTAAATTTTAAATTTTCTATAAAATTATAAAAAAACCAATTCAACCCTAAAGTTTAAGCGGTTAGGTAAAGAAAGATGAATGGTTTTATATATTTATATTATATTTCTAACATATCCCTTCATACATGAACCCATTGGACTTAAATGGTGGACAATGCACAAGCCGACCTATCTATATTAAAAAATTCCACAATATACATTTATTAGAAAAATAAGGGCGGCAACAATCAAACTCTAGACAACTTGGTCATAAAGGCTCTAATACCATGTCAAACAACCAATTGTCCCAAACGCTTAGCAGATGAATGGTTTTATATTTATGTAAAAAACCAACTCTCTCAAAAGCTCGCACTTAGGTGAAGACACTTACTATTTTATATTATATTATTCCTTAACAAAGAACAACAAGCATTTTTATTGATTTTACAAAATGATTAAAAATCTAAATTGTATTTTTGTAATTAGGTTACCTTTGAAAAGGTTAAGTTACAAGTACAGTTATTTGCATGATTGTAAAGAAGGGCAGGTAGTATTTTATTTCAAAAAAAAAAAAATTTAAAAATTTCTGATATAAATATTATTTAAATTTTTAATCATTTTAACCAACTGTAAAATAAGTGATCTACTTTTTACATTCAAGCAAAATATAGCAAAGTGACAGGTTCTATTCAGAAATGTGATAAATAATAATTTAAAAGGTTAGCATTTATATAAGCATGAAACCAATGACAAATTAGTAGAAAGACAGATTCATACAAGGAGGAGACTCTTACATTTGTGCATTACGGTGTGACACAGATACCATTTGTGGAAAATCGATCATGGTAATCTTTTCATCATTGTCGATCTACAATGAATGGAAAACCGAGTGTAAACCAGAAGCAGAAGCCAATGAAATCACATACATCATCAAATGAGATTTAAAATTCTCTAACAATTGCAGTAGCACAAAAAGATGTAAAGCACATGTAATTCAAGCATACCATGATGTTAAATTCATTAAAATCACAATGAATGAGACCATGCTCCGCCAGTCGAACAACTAAACCAATAATTGTCTCAAAAACCATCTCTGGATTTTCTAATTGCTTCACCTGAACACTGCACTTGCAGAACCCAATAACAAATTCAAGCAATTAAGTAACAAAACCAACAAAAAAAGGAAAGTCAACAAGCAAGAAAGCCAGCTTAAAAACAACTGACAATGGAGAAAACATAAAAAAGTAGCAGATCATTATGTGGCAAATATAGCACGATCTGGAAGATAAAGACCACCAGAATTACATATTGTGATATTACATAAGAAACTTTTATCAGATAACACAAGAATCCTAAAAGAAACAGATTGTCAGTAGTTATTTTCAGAGATAACACAGCATATGCTTAATACAATATCATCCACCATTGACAAACATGCTGCCTAACAATTGCAGCACATACCAAATGTTAGGAAGCCTCCTAGTGTGAGGGTGTAAATGAGAAGGAATTGCAGAGGATCAGAGCCCCAAGGGAGCAAGGAAAAGGGTAATACTGGGTGTAAATAACTACCAGAATGACATAAGGGAATTGGTGGGAAGCTCTGTTTTAACAGAAAATAAATATAGAAGAAGAGTAGAGTAGGGAGAAAGGTAAGAAAGGAGAGTGGATTGGGAGAGTTCATCAATTGAATTCACCTGTTACCGCTCATTCAGTTCACTGTAAATCCGTTTACACCACTGTTGCTATCACATTGATAACAGTGGTTCAACATCAACGACACTTTTATCCCAAGTTGGGATCGGTTGTCAATGAACCCTAATGAAAAGAGTGAGGGAAAATAAGGGGGGAAATAAAAAATAAATAAAAATTGAAAATTACCAAAGAAAAATACAGAAGAAAAAATAATAAAATAAAGTGAAAATAAAGATAATAAGAGAAAAATTAAACAGTAAAAATAAAAATAGATAAACAAAAGTGAAAAAAAAAATAGAGAGGAAAATAACTAAAGAAATAAATAAAGAAATGAAGGGAAATATAGATAAAAATGACTAAACCGGGACTGTCTAGAATAATTGATAACAGTGGTTATAGAGGAATATTATATTATCTCCCTTTCATTTTGCGTATTATGGTCCAGTTTCTATCAGCTTCTTGGTGCCAGCCAAGAATAAAAAGAAATAAAAGCACAGATATAAAGCTAAGATATCCATGAAATGTTGTAACTCTTTAACGAAAGCTCATACATCCAGTGCTTTAGAACTCAGACAGTCATAAAACAATGCCCTGCTTAAAGAATGCAACACGGATATCATGCTCATCAGTCTAGCTAAGAAGAGAATCCAAGGCCCAAAGTGCTCAAACATATCCATGTACGGTCGCAATACAATCTAAAGCTCGTGCATCCAATGTTTATAAAATTCTGGGTCCCATAAAACAAATAGCACCCCCAAAAGTACTACAACAGTTAGGCAACCACAGTTTCCAAATTCCAACAATGTTGGAATAGAACAATATTATTCCAAAAATTGGCAGATATATATAACATGAATGTGGAGTCAAATCTACCATTTTAGATGATGTAAACTGCATTTCAGTTCCCTAAAATCTAAAACAGCATAAATCTAATAATAAGAAGCATTTTATGGTACTCTTTAAAAGAATATTTAAGATTTGAAGCAATTAATGTGGTAAAGGTGACATATGAAATCAAATTATGCTTGGTAAATGAAAAGAAGGGCACTTACAGAGGGTAACCTTGAACGAGTGACATGACTACACAATGTCTATTATGTTCTACAGCATTTGGAACAGGAAAGCCATGTGTTTCCAAAGCCTGCTCAAGCAAACCTTGAGTCATTAGAAATCATATAAAAAGATAATAATTCAAATATAGAGCTAAATACTAAATAGAGGAAAACCTTCATAAAAGCAAATTCTTTAAGTGCAGCAAGCCGAGACAAATACAGCCAATTTGAAGTACTACGATGTCTGAGGTAGTCACGCTTAGATTTGACAGCCCTAAAAGAAACTCTACCAAGCCTATGCAACTTCATAGCAAGAACTGTTCCATCTTCACAGGCAACCTCAAATATATCTAGCAGAACACAAATGCCATAATTAGGAAACGATTGAAATATCCTAAAGAAGCATCATATTAGAACTAGACTAATTCTATCAAAAACCAAAACTAGTACCTGATTCCTTTCCAACTCCAATCTGGCGACCAACAGCCACAAAAACTCCTTTGTTCACCATAGTTTTAATTGCAAGAAAATCATAACCAAGGTAGGTAAGGCGGAACCCGTCATCTAAAAGCAAATTAAGGAAAAACAACCTAGAGGGTCACTGAGATGAACTTAAATACATTATTAAATTAAATAGAGACTAGAAGCTACAAACATTTAGAAGAATCATGGTGCAACAACTTATGCTTTAGCAGATTTTTCAAAACCTTGTAGCTGCCACCATGCCTGCACAAATTCATGGGAAAACCATTAAAAACACCCAATGAAAGATAAATTTGAAAGACGAAAATTGAATCCAAAAGAGTAACTAAACATACTTGAGACGAGCAATTCGGTCAATGAGTTCAGTGGGTACAATCTCATGCTGCAATGAAGAACTAAATCTATTAGCAAGTGGTGTGCAATTCAATTCAAATTTAAAAACATAATAGTTGAAGAAGAAGGAGGAGGAGAGAGAGCGAGACGCACATTCCTCATCCCCAATTCAACAGCAGTGAGAACCCTAAAATCATCTTTGGAGAGATATCTCAAGACATCCACATCAAGCTTCATTGTATTGTCCTTCTTCTTCTACTACTACTTTCTCGTTAACGACGTCAACTGGCTCTGCCGAAGAAGCAAGGCAATAATGGATGAAAAACTGAAGCAGCAGAATAAACCATCCAAACAAAACCCTATCGTCATAGTTCAAAGAAGAAGAAAAAACCCTAATCGTCGAACCATACTTGAAACTGAAACGCAACGCAGCTGAACAATGGGGTTTCTAACGAGTTTGGGTTTTGGACCGTATAGATTATTGTACTTCGTATTAAATTTGATGGACCGTATAGATTCACAATCTGTACTATCGCCAAATTGATATTTGATAGTTCTCTAAATGCAAAAAAGTCAAAATCACAATCTGTATAGATTATTCTCATCGAAAGAGAAGTATTTCTATGGTCCAGGCCATAGAATTATATGGGTCGAAGGTACCTGTGAAAATCTTCTAAATACTCTGTGAATATGATTGGGAATATGTACGAAAATTTCATTTCCTTCATCATAGTTATTTCATTCACATTTTATTAATGCTAAAATATACGATGCACTTTTTTTTGTTATTATTATTAATTTTGTTTCCCATAGCAGTGATTTCAATCACCATCCAAATTATTTGGGAATGAGATTTAATTTACTATTATATATACCACTTTGGTAATTCATCAATTTCACTATATGCCTAATGGATAGGATCGTTGAGTTCAATCAATTCTGCATGGAGCGTTTGGTAGATGAGATTTTTTTTTTATCGGGAAAAAAAGATTTCAAGAAATATAGTGACAAATTTTGTTTTCCGAGTAAGTTACGAAAATGTGTTTGGTAGGCCGAATAATTCTCAGGAATATTGGGTGATTTTTTATAATATTATGTTTAGTTGATTATAAAATATTACTAGGAATATAGACTGAATTTACAAAATTGCCCTCAAATCTGAATTACGGTATAATAGCATCACACATATGTTTGGTAGGCCTTATTTACATAAAACATACATAAGAACCTGCACATTGCTAAGAAAAAGAAAACGACAATTGAACATGCTCATTGAAATATTGAATTACGGTATAATAGCATCAACAAAATCAAAATGAACAAAATGATTAAATAAGGCTAACAACACGCTAACTGAAAAAAAAATTAAAAGGTATAAAGTATATTTGTAATAGATGATACATAAAATGCAGTAATACCTGAAAAAGTAATTAAAATGAGACAAACAAATCAGAAAGATAACATCCACTGTAATTTAAAATCTCAATAAAATTAGTATAAAATGCGTATTAGCAACCATTGCCTTCATTTGGATTTTTTTACGTGCTCTGGGACTATACAACTGGGTGGTTCCCCTTTTTATATAAGAAAAAATTTACCTATTTGAATCCAATTATTTGTTCTATTTCCCTTTGAGTCATCACTTTTTATCTTTTTTTTGGTAAAGGAGCATGTGCTCCTACTCCATCAAAAATTCTCTAATAATCCCAGTGCAAGGATGTGAATTAGGCAACTCTATTTCTCATATTTCTTGTTTTCACTTAATCTGAAGCATGCCAAGTTCGCAACCAATGCCAACCATTTACAAAATAAAATAACACAATGAAAAGAGGAGTCGGTGGCAGAATCAAGGGAAGAACAGAAAAATCTGAAATGACCCCCTACTCGAAAACAACCATAGCAAAATTCCCAAACACCTATACGTCAAAATTAGGACCATTTCCCAAACCAAGAAGCAAAGAATCAAACAAATCTGACCCAAAAAGATATTGCAATCAACCAAAAATATTCAAATACAAGAAGGATGATTTTGCACAATTCAGTGTTTGCCACTGGCGCTATCGTTTTTGCAATCACATGCATAAGGTAAACATCTCATGTACCATTCAGGTGCTTATACTAAAAATTATAATGACAAACAACCCAATTGGTAAGCGAAAGTAATAAAATACAAGAAAAAAAAAACAAAGGAAGACATATCCAACCAAAAAGTAAAAAGAAAGGAAATAACCCAATAGCACGCACAAGTCGAAGTACCTGAGAAAAATACGCACAGCGATTGTCAGAGGAAAAGAGTGACGTTCTCCTTGCTCTGAAAAACAAAAGAAAGGGTCGATTAATATTTATAAAAATATATTATCGTGACACAGAGACAAAAGTTGAAGAGAAGACAAATAGTTGATGAAATCTTGGCTTCCGCTCATACGACTAAGAGGGACCCGACGAAGACAACTCGCCACCGGTGTCAACCACAGCGGCGAACGTCCACGAGCTACTCCACTGGCGAAGTTTCACACAAATCAATTTTGTGTCTCAGAGGATAAGCGAAGCCTTGCTGTTGGAACAGATGAGTATGTTTCAATCGATGACTACGGCACGATATTTTGTTTGAGAAGGGTAATTTTGTCTCAAATTTCACAAAAATTTTCCCCACTAGACTGGTATCCTAGAATACCACATTTTCGATGGCCATCTACGTTGCCATTTTTGTGTGTTATGTGAAATTCTAAGAATAAATTTTTTCTAGGATAATTACAAATGTCTTTGTACCAAAAATGTGAATATTATATTGCCACAACCACTTTCCTTGGAAAATAAAATATATACACCTACCAAACACCACCAGAATAGGATGGAATCATTGAAACCATAGAACTTTAAATGTTTTTTTCTTTATTTTTTTCTAGAGATAGAAAAAAGAAATAACAATGACCTAACACAGAAGGGAAGAAATTATCTGAAAATCTATGGAACAATTAATAAAGGAGGACGAGGCACATCCTCAACAACAATGCATAATTTCACAACACAAAACACTCACATTAGTTTGGATCATGAATTTCTAAGCTCGCGTTCATTGAATTGTGTCCAGAATAAAATGGTGGGACTTTGAGATTTTAATATAAGAAAAAGAAGCTGGAGGAGGAAATGCAGAAGATGGCAGATATGAAGAACGAAAACAAATCAAACTTAAACCGCATTGCATTTGCATGTGATACACGTTAATTAAATTCAACTTAAACTGCATTGCATGAGATAATGAAAAAGAAAAATATGTAATATTCACAGGGACAGGTGGAAGAGCACTGTATGTTAAGTTATTGACAAGACCAATGATTTTTGGATATAAAGCCAGCACTTGAGGAGTTCAGTATGACCACCAACACCACCATGATATGAACACTCAAATAAGTTAAAGCCAATAGATATATGCATCGGTAGATATTATATATGTATCTCTCAATAATCCTTCGAGTATATATATAATTCTGATAAAATCTTTTTTCCTGAAGTTCCTCTTTTTTTTATTCTCATAATGCTTGGATTTCACACAAAATGTATTAAAGCTTCCACCACTAAAAGGTACACCCTAACTTGAAAAGAGGGACTTTGATCCACTATAGGTACCTTGCACCTTACAAAGTAAAATAAGGAGTTGATAGCTATTGATGATTATTTTATGAAATAAAAACACTTATGTGACAATTATGGTTATATGAAAACATAAATTCTTTAATTTTTTTATTCCACCATGTACTATACTACTTTATAAAATGCACCATATTCTTTATAGAGAATCCAAACTCTAAAAAAAGAGAACTAATAAAACAAATATGGAGGACCAGTTGATGCTTCCCGGCAAGTATACCGATGGCACAAGTAATAAAGTGATAAAGTAAAGTATCGTCTCCACAGGGATTGGGTCGAATATCAATTAATTGTTCCTTTCAAGAATGGAAAAGTTCAAAAGGGTTTTGACAAATATTGTCGATGGTTTGAAATTGAGAACTGAAAGAAAGACTTATTTTTGTAATTTTTGATTATGAGAAAAGAACAATAAAAATAAGAATTGATTTGTGAAAATATGAGAAAAGTATTGTAGCCAGACATAGTCATGGCTAAAATTCAATATCCAATAAAAACCTGGTAAATTACAAGAAGAAAAAGATGAAATAGCTTCTTGCAAGACTCTCTCTGAGCACCACCGTCGTCTCTGGTCTTCGGAATAGGATTCGATTTATAAGCCTCTTTTTCTTCTTCCAAAAATACCCCCAGGACAACACGGTGAAATTTTCTCGCAACCCGGCGCCAGTTAGCGCCGGTTTGACGCCATCCCGCGCGGAGCTACTGTCCAATTTTGCAAAGTCGGAACCGAGTCCTCGTGAACTGGCGCCACAGTTGCGCAACTTGGCGCCAATTTCTTCAACAAAGTGGCACCATTTTCTTGCTTTATTTGGCGCCATTCTTCCTTCTTTGGGCGCCCTATTTGCACTTTTTGGCGCCATTCAATTTCTTCATGAAAAAGTGGCGCTACTTGGCTCCATTTTGGCGCCAAGTAGCGCCAAGCTACTGTGACAATTTCTTCTCCAAAGGTTGGCGCTAGGTTGCTTGGTTTTGGTGCCACTAGGCGCCACTTGCAATTGTCCGATGTGGAGTTCGTAAACTGGCGTGGGTTTGCGCCATGCTTCTGGAATTTGTAGTGTGCTCCACCCGTGTGTAATTACGTCAACAGGCTTTTTATAATTTTCACTTCTTTTTCCTGTAAAAACACAACAAATATGTGAGAAATATTATTGAAAAGAAAGAATCAATATAATTAGCAAATATGTATTTAAGTTGCTCTTTTATGACTTAATTCTTATCAATTTTAACACATAAAACTACACTTGCCAGAGGCACATCAAATCATTCCCAGATTTAAACGTTGTTGTCCCCAGCAATGTACAAGACTCAATCCAGGAAACAATCAATTAATCCAACATAACATCGCACAGACAATCAACAGATCACTATGCTAAGCATGACTGAATCAATGCAAAGAACTCCTAACAATGCCTTCTATTCTTATGAAATTATCAGAATCTAGCTTGAACACCCTCACCAAGATAAACATATAACGCTCAGCACTCAAGTGTTTCGGGGAGTAACAATCACTCAATCCATCACAACAATAACACTGCCATAAGCTTGATCATATTCTCAAGTTCCTAAAGATGAGGAACATTAACACATGCAAAATTGATCAAAAGGACTTCATAGGTTATAACTTGGCCGGGTTGAGGGGTAGGAATATATGGAAAGTAGCTCAAACAACAATGAGATTGAAAAACTGAGGAGTAAGAATACTGTGACAATTTCTTCTCCAAAGGTTGGCGCTAGGTTGCTTGGTTTTGGCACTAGTTGGCGCCACTAGGCGCCACTTGCAATTATCCGGTTTGGAGTTCGTAAACTGGCGCGGGTTTGCGCCATGCTTCTGGAATTTGTAGTGTGCTACACCCGTGTGTAATTACGTCAACAGGCTTTTTATAATTTTCACTTCTTTTTCCTGTAAAAACACAACAAATATATGAGAAATATTATTGAAAAGAAAGAATCAATATAATTAGCAAATATGTATTTAAGTTGCTCTTTTATGACTCAATTCTT